TACACTCAAAGAATAGTTCCCCATATCTATGTTATTGTACACTCAAGAATATGCCGATCCACTTGATGTATAGAGCCAGTGGGAGAGAAGTGAATGACATGTGGAAGTTATGAGAAAGCTCATTGATTAGGAAGTAAATAACTATGAGATTCTTCTCCAAACACTTCATATCGCTACAATCAATGGGAGCAATAGTAAACCAATCTGGAGATTCAATGCTAGAAGATCTTTTTTGGTCACGTCTTTAGATAATCATCTTATTAAAAATGATGTCACAGACAACAGTTTTCCTTTTCAACAAATTTGGAAGGTTAACACTCCACCACAGTTATTTTCTTCACATGGGAAGCAAGTCAGAAGTATATCTTTACTATTGACAAGTTGATTACGAGGGAGAAAATATTGATGAATATATGTGTTTTATGTAAAAAGGAGGCGAAGTCGTGCAATCACATCATTTTTTGGTGTCTATTTGTGGCTTATGGATTACTAGATATCAGGTGGGTAGTGGTTGGTCGATGAGTGAAAAGATTTGAGCGTAGAAGGATGTTAGTGGAAAGAAGACCATGTTAGTCTCATTCCCCTTGCTATTTTTGGGTGGTGTAAAAAAAAATATGAAAACTTTTGAAGGGATGGAAGATGACTTTAATAGAGTTCAAGATGGATGGTTCTAAACCCCGAGTTTTTTGTTTATTAGTCATTCTTTTATTCAATTGAGAAATTTTGGGAATTTATTGATATTTTGATTGACATATAAAATATTTTTGTACATGAGTTGACATCCTCTTGATGTTTGTGCATGAATCTTATCATACCTTTTACTAAAAAAGAAAAAAAAAAACCTTTGAAATTTCATTTTATGCAACTCTCTCTCTCACATGTGTATATATATATATGCATTCATGTAGTTATTAGCGTGAACACATGCATAGAATGAAATCAAAACCAAACTGTTCGTTTCTCTGTTACTCTTTGTTCATGTGATTAGTGTCATTACTTGTTTTCTTTATATTTGCAAAGTGATCAATATTTGTTATAGAAATGCTCAAGTTTTTTCTTCCGTTATTCTTATTTATTTATATCTTCCATCTTTGAAGAGGACAACTTTTTTGGGCCTGTATCTACAAATTTTATTCGTCCTGGAAGATTATCTGATTCTGCTATTTCGGATGAAAATCACGATATCACAATGGACTCAACAGCATTTTCTATGCATTTCCGAAGTCTTGCAAGGTCTGAGTCAGAAGATTTTAAGACCCCAACTGGGGTTAACATTACCTTTGAAGAAAAATCACCTTCTCTGGTTGAAAGTCCCTCAAAACCAGGAAGTTCTATGATGTTGACAAAAGCTAAGAAGCTGTTTTCCAGATCTCCTCTTCCTGTTGACAAAGTAAGTGGCGGCAGAGATTCAAATGACATGAGTCTTGTGGGAGAAAATCCACATAAGTATGATTATGGGAAGCTATCTCCTACGCTCGAAGCACTTCTATCAGAAGTAAGCCAAGATTTGCGTTCTAAGCCATCTTCTTATTATGGTAACCTGAAATCGCCAAACACTGATGCTTCAGCATTTGATAAATATGGCAGCACTGAGAGGGATCCAAATGATTATGGCGATACAAAAACGCCTGGCAGCAGTGACAGGGCTCCAAATGATTATGGAGATACAAAAATGCATTCTACTGGGCATAACAATACGTTGCCTGAGGGAGCTCCTCAGCAGCAGATTGAGTGGAGTCTCACTAATAATTCAACATCTACTCTAGATAATCAAATTACTCATGATTGTGAACTTAACAATAATTACACTCCAGCTGCCGGTGCTTCTGCTAATTGTGAAATCGAAAGTCAGAAACAGTTTGGCAAGGCAAGCTCTCTGTTAAACTCATCCTTCTTCAATTATTATCCCTAAGATTTTCATGTTAACTTCGATATTTTTAATAAGTGACCTCTTCGGAGAATTTATATAAACATTTACCATAGTTTCCTGGTTTAATGCATTTAGAAGTAACCAATAATTTCTCTTCTTTTCTTGCTGATCTATGAATTCTCTCTTTGCTCTAAAAATGTGCAGTACGCTGCTAATTTGTTATTGTGTCTTTTTAGGTTGGTCATCACCTTTGACTGATTATTGTTAGCCTTTGGTAGTCACATGGATCATGTGATCGTTTCTTTTCCATTTTCTGTTAGTTTTGGGTGAGGAAGGGTGTATATGAAGAGACTATAGGTCATACACAATTAATAGGGTCACATTTGTTATGTTTTTCCTGTACATTAACTAATGCTCTACAAAATTCGTCTTTGCTTTGTAAATGGAGTGAACTTTTCATGTAGCATTAGGGGACTAATTTACCTCCATGCCATGTTTGTTTAATTTCAGGAGGAACAGCCTCTCGAAGTTATGATTGGGATTGATATTCCAAATGCAGAACTCTCAATGGTCAATGGCACTCCACTGAATATGAGCACTGAAAAGCATCGGCTTCTTTTTGCCATGAAATCTGGACAAGAACATCCTAATGAAGACTGGATGAAAGAAAAATCTTCTAGAGGTAGAAGCCAGAGCTCTGATTTTGATCACATATCTGATCAACAATATTGGTCTCCTTTAGTGAACTCTTCATCCTCATTAAACGTTATAAGGCCACAGATTTCTTTGGACAAGTATCTCACTCCCCTAAAACAAAGCATAAATCAAGGTGAGAGCCTGTTATCTATTCAAAAAACCAAATCTAAGTCGAAAATTATTGGGACTCCTTCCTTGACTTCTTCTGCTCTTAGGAATAAAATCGAAAAATCAAAGCTTGCATTATCAGAATACAATTTGTCCAGAACTTCTTCTTCCAATGTTGTTGAAGAAACCAGCAAAGATCTCCAGCACAAGCATGTGGATGCCCCCATTACTAACTTAGGTACACAATTGTCTAGTGCATGCATTCCTCAGTGTAAACCTATTCAATTGAATACTACTATGGTTTCGCCTTCTCATTTCATGGGGTCAGGGAAGAAAGTGGCCGAGCATCCCCTGGAAACAGAAAATTTTGCAGAAGGGAGGGCTACATCTAATTCATTGTTGGGAGAGGTCAAATCTGATGGGGGAAAACATAAAAATGAACGTAGTTCATATGAAAAGTTCCCAACTTCGCTAGTGAAGAGGTTAAATCAGAGGTCACTGTCATCAGTAAATAACAGTGAGCTTGAGCAGCAAGATCAGTATGATCAATTTCTAGGCTTTAGCCCAATGAAAAAGCCAAAATCATTTGAAATCATTCCCGATAATAACTATTCAACTATATTGGCTGACAAATTGGGTTCCTTTATAAGGAGAGTACAGTCTAGCTCTCTACCCACTAAGTCTAACTATTTAGAAAACTTTACTCAAGTTGAAAATTTGGATAATGGAGAAAGTCATTTATCAGATTTGCAAAATGTACCTGACAGCTTTCAAAGTTTTCAAGCCCCTTTAAGGGATAAGGATGACCTAAAATTCCAGTTGGAGAGTCCAGGTAAGAATCTCCAAATTTCAACACATGCGACCTCCTCTTGTGAAGAACTTCCTGCAGAAGGAACCAAAGCCTCTTCAAGCATTTCTCCTTCTCCATACATGCACCAAAATATAAAAGAGACTTCACTTTTTAAGGTATTAATTTGTCTTGCTGTATGCTATACATTCTCATTCACAACAGTTCTGGCCAATATTTATACTGCTACTATGAAATTGTTTGGCTGTGGTTAAGACAATAGTTAAAGTGCTTTGAAGTCTGATGCTCAGTTTATGCAAATTAAACCAGAGCCCAACTAAAAATGACAATCTGACTTGGCAAGATCCAACTCTGAGTGCCTCCAAGAAAGAATTGCATAACAGATCACCTGGTGAAGATATGCAACTTGTTTTTGGCAAGGATGCATCATCAATCAATCCCAATTCCAATGAATATGTTGATGATGAAGGTCATGAAGAATTAAGTATGTTGCAGAGCCATTTTTCTGAGCAAGATGTTGAGGACTGTTCCAGGAAGAAAAGAAAAGGTGAAGAAATTATTTCAGGAAATGCTGGTAATTCAGATAAAATCGGGAGGGCCTCAAGAAGTCCAGTGATTCACAAAAGCACAATGTCAGATTCGGAGCTCCTGTTGGATCATTCTAATGGAAGTAACCAGAGAGATGAGAGGATAGGAGGTTGTACAGCATTAAGGAACTGGACTGATGTATGTGTGCTTTGTTGCTTATCTGTTGCACTAACAATCATAAGCTGATTGGTTGTTTGGCTAGATTCTTTAAATCTTTCAATCTCTCCGATTATCTTTAATACCCGATCGTGACTTGCAGATTTCCCAAAAATTCTCAATAGAAACACATAAGTTGCTTTCTCCATTGGCTGACAAGCTACAGATAAGAGCAGTATATCTCTTCTCTTTGCTTCTATTCTTGAGTTTGAACTACCATCTTATCTGCAAATTTGGGATATCAATCAATATAGTCAAGGTCATTGTATGAAGTTCAACTTTTTGATGCTTTTGTGGTTTCCACTTTCATGTTCCTAATTCATAGATAGGCATGCTGGAAGATTCTTTGGCTCACTTAAAGAAGGTTCATCAATACAAGACTCTTTGTTCTAAAATCATGGCTCAGGTCTGCTGATTGATAGAAAGATTCCATTGTTCTTTTGTCATGCTTATCATGCCAGGAAATAATAAGCTACCCTCCTGTCATTTATGCAGAATGCATACGACATTTCGAGTAATGTTATGTTGAAGAGGTGATTTCTCATCCTGTCTTTATGGATATGCTGCAGACTGTGGTTGTCAATATCAGCTTTTTTTCTTTTGTGATTGAGAGAATTGATTTAGCATAAAATCTGAGAAACATCAATTGATCCTATCGCAGACAAGCTGAAATTAGACTGCTGCTTTCTGATTTAGCATATGAAAAAGCCAACCTTCAGTTAATGTATTTAAAGCATGAGAGACTGCTGGTATTTTATCTACCTCTTATGTGCTTTAATTCTTTCGATAGGTGTCTTGCTTATACCTGCCTATACTCTTTGATGCAGAAAAAAAGCCAACTACTGAGCTTTGGAATTCAAGAATGTGAACTTTTGAGGTTCAATTTTAAACATCTGTCTATACCTACCAAGAGAGATACTATAGTTGCTCATCGTCTTAATCCTCCATGCTCAGTTGATTCTAAGGGGAAGTATGAGGTAAACATCAGGTTATGGATTTTGTGAATGAAGGTTTTTCTTTTTGGAGTCACATCTCACCTACCTCAGATAAACCCTTACCACTGCTTTTGTTAATGTTTCTTGAATATGTGAAATCCTCATCTCATTATCGTGGTCCATTGTTGCACGTGCTTGTTAATAATTCAATTATATAAATAATGTACTTGTTGAAATTAGATCCCTCTGTGCATACTGTATGAACACGGATACTTTACAGGAAAGATAACACAGTGGAATATAGTGTTGACTCAACTTGTTCTCATCATCTTGCATTATTCGATTTGGTGTCTTAAAGTTAATAATCTTTTATCTGAGAAGACTGCATTGTGCTAGTTGTAATCTCTTCTCAGTCTTCATATACTTTTTTTTTTATAATTTATCATTGCAAAATTTTTAGTTCGAAATTATTTCTTAATAAACTGCATCATCTATCTTTTCACATTATTAATTTGAAATTAATGTTTAATAAACTGCTTGCTCATTCCCAGGTTCCCTGTGAAATAGTGACTAAAATGAAGAAAGACTTTGAAGCTTTAGACAGAAAAATAAAGAATGCAGCAAAATCCTTCCACACTTATTTTAAGATGAAAGGTGAACCAAGTTGTGCCGACACTATTTCATTTCTTAATGATTATTTGAAGAAAAGAATGGGCTGCCGGTTTCTTCGCCAGGATATGCAGGTATTTTTACTTGTGATCTCATATTTATTGGCACATGCAATGGAAATATCTTCTGATTAAATGCATGTTTTATTCTTAATTTTGGCAGTTGTGGGAGGTTGATGATTTGGAGAGTGGGAATGGCCATCACACTGTTGTTCTGAACTATCTTGGCCTTATCTGCCAAAGGTTGCTTAGTTTCTGGTTTATTGTTATCTATTTTTAATTGATAGTGCATCTATTAGTGCAGTGCATACTTCTATTATATTCTTTATATTCAATTGTATGCAGGCTCACAATAAAATCTGAGCCACCTCCAAATGTCCTGATTTCTAACAAATTGATCGATATTATAATCACAAAGGTAATGAAATACACAAACAGATACGCTGTCATACTGTTTCATATGCTTTCTTCATGTCTGAAGTTCAGCATTTGTGTTTTATCAGAATTTTCCAAACATGGATGTTGGCACTGCATTCACATTTGTCTTTAATTCTAAATCCATGAAGAAGTATATGTGCTGCAAAAGTTTGGCACATGAAACACAGGTGAGTTTCTCTGATTTCATTATTGCATTTTGACGCTGCATTTCTGTCTTGAACATCTATGTCCTTCCTCAACCTTATAAACTTCATCTGTGCGATAAATTAAACTGCTCATTCAATCATTAACAGAAACATGCAGAATGCGAATTTCTGCATTAATGTTTTTTGTTCAAGATTCAAGGTACTGCATGTGCTTCCAAGCAAATCATGCTTTATTTCCTGTTACCCTTGATTGCCGAATTTGTGAAATAATACTAGGTCCTTGTATTTTATCGAAAAACAATGACTAGGTATTTGTACTTTCATTTTCCATGGACTGCAAAATAGTTTTGAATACTATTGTGGAGTTATAAAACTTCTCTATGTTTAATATGTTCTGATATGCAGACAACCAGTTTGCTACTGCGGAATCTGCTAGATGTAGTTGAGGAAGTACAGCTAGCAAAGATAGAGATACAAAAGCTGATGCAAGCAAGTTTTAATTCTTCATCTGGTAACAGTATCCTTTTTCTTTTCCCTGTGTCTCATCCATTTTAATTTGCTTTGGATATAATACTGTTACACAGATGAATGGCTATACTCAACTATTCTTCTCTCTTTTTTTAAAAAAAAAAGAAAGAAAAAACTTACTTTTCAAATTCTGATGTGAACAGGAGATTAGTTCTTTTGCCTAGGCCTCTTCTAATTGCTGCACCTCATATGGATTAGCTAGTAACTCCTTGTTCTGGATCCTAATTTTGTTCAACATCATAAAAACTATAAAGAATTTGTAAAAATGAAGCCAAATTTTGGTTCAGCTATTGGTAATATCCTCCATCATTATATTAGTTATTTAAATCCAATCTCCTTAGGTCAACTAACATACAGTATTTTCTGTCTTTCTAACACAAATTGGATCCATGAGTGTCCTCAGGCCACAATGATTCAATATTCATAGAGAAGATAAGGGCACTCATCTCAACTTTTATAAAGTTCTGCGCTATAACTTATATACCAATCACAGTTTAGCCATTTGATTTGTTTACTCACGTTAGGGCAATTTTTTCTGTGCTTGAGTATTTATACCAGAAATTTAGAGGGTGTTTGGGATGGCTTAAAGAAATATGGTTAAAGCGTGTTTCAAGTCACTTGAAGCAGATAAGTTCTTATTTAGAAAAGAGATAGTTATGTATTTGGATAAAATGTTGATTGCAAAAAATAAGCAGTTATTTTTAAAAAAAAATTAATGAAAGAATATATTTATTACAAATATTTTCTAATTTATTTTTATTATACATATTGTTGATTTTAAGTGGATATCAGAGTGTAGTTAAGTAAACTTGTTAGATCAAAACTAAGAAGCTAAAAAAAGGTTTTCAATAAGGTGCTTAACCTTTATCTTCTCAAGTCATTTTTAAGTACCTAGTAAGACCTTGCTTTATATTGCCAAACAAAAAATTGAAAAAAAGTGCTTAAAACTACTTATAAGTATGAAGTAAGTACTTCGAAACATCCTCTTAATTTTTAATTCCTCTTTGAGTCAGTTCTGAACTAGTGTTGACAGTGATCAAATTATCTTTCTCTTTTCAGAAATTTTTCTATTGCAGAATTAACCTTCTATTTGCAAAAGGGCTAACTCAACAATTTTCTTGATTTGCAGCTGAGCAGCTTAATTTGCAGCTTAGTTTTGTTGACCTGGACAGTAGTAAAAGAGTGATGATCATTCTTGACATGACTTGTTTGAATTGGTAACATCCTGCATAATCTTTTATAGTGTTGTTTGTACTCAAAAGACTGTGAAATTGATGGCATGTTGCTAAGATTTATATGTTACTTTTATTGGTTTTGAATTGTTCTAGTTTCTTATGTCCTCTATGGAAACATGTTTCATACTCAAATATATGCTGTTCTTGAGTTGTAAATACACATTAATTACCCTACCTCCCCAAAAAATGTGATGTGATCTGGGAGATCAACTTGTCTTTTTAATGTGACTGGTGAATTAGTACGTAGACATTTTTGTGGAGCTTATCCATTAAATCACCTAGAGTTAGTGATAGCTGAATTCTCTGGATAAGATACGTCTACGTAATTGAAAATTTTTGCATAAAACATAGATTTTGTTGCCGAACATGCACTTTTATATGTATCTCGTCTTTTCATTTTGAAACTGGTGGATGTTCAAGTTGTATTGACTACTTAACATTGTTCAAAATTGATGTTAAGCCTATCTGATTTATTTTTTTTTCCCCATATAGGGTTTATTTGAATTTTGCAGGATATCTGATATTTACCTTAACGTCCTACTCAAGTGAAAGTGTTTGGAATAATAAGATTTGCTTGAAATGCTCAATCTGTGTGCTGTCCTTATCTATAATTTTATCAATTGTTCCCTTTAAAATAATTTTTTTGGCAAAATGAAATTCTTTTTTTGGTATGGTAAATGAGCATATACTAACTTTGCCTCTTTTATTTTTTTTTTGTTTCTGAACAGTGGAATTTATCCTTCGGAGGTCTGTCCTTATGAGTTACAGTGTCCTTTCTCTTCGACAGAAGATTTACAGCCCCAGTCGCTCTACGCTAAGATAAAAACTGCTTGTGGCAGTCTTAGAGGCGGGTATCCGAGGATTATAAATCTCTGTAGGTGTGTTTCCCAGGTGTTGCAATAGTGAAGCAGTAAATAGGTTTTTGCTGTTAGGGCTAGCAGATGTAGTGCCACATGCGTCCAAAAATCACTGAACAGATAAGAATTTTCTTGTCACCAAAGTTTCATGATTGTGAATGTGGTGGAAGCATTTGTAAGGTTACTGGTCCAATCTTAAATGGAGAGAAGCTTTCCTATGGAAAGCTGTGGGAGGTTGTGTTTCAAACACGGGTTGAATCCAAGTCTAGGGTGAGTTTGCTGCATATTGATTTCCAGATAGAAGACTTAGGAGGTGTGCAATTTTGGTAGCATGTTAGAGGAGGAAATAGAAAGCTTTTACCTGACTTGAGGTGGGAGCTAATATTAGCTACAAGAATAACAATTTCTATGTTCAAAAGAGGCTTTTTAAGTGGAAATGATATTTTTAGTAGCTGATGCTTTGAATTACTCTACATCATTAGTGTTAAAAATTCTCAAATTTTAGGACCACTGGGATGCATATTTGGACCAATTAAATATTTTTTGTCTTATAATTTTGTGAGAGTTGCCTTAAAATGTGATTGTTCATATATGGGATTAAGTCGAATATTATTAGTTAGCAATAGACACGAGTTGTTGCCATTTGTGCAAATGGGTGACCCCCAATTATGTGATATCTGCATAGTGGTCCCTGCTTCTGGAAACTAGATTTTGAGTGTCAGGGGCTCAAGAGCTTCCTAGACAAGATCCTCAACAAAAGTTTTATTCCTACCAAATATAAAAGAAAACCTACCCTGAAAGAAGCTTTTGATCTTTAGGTTTTGCCAGGAGCATTTGCTGTTTCAGACACACCTCGAGAAGTCAGACTTGCTTTAGTAAAGTCTTTCATGTTATTGGTGCGTATAAGCTGGTAATTTGTTTATTTAGTTTTCTGGGCTCATAACTTGTTTCTGTACAAGTCACTGTAGACCTTTATATTGTATTATATATCTTATATATTACAATGTTATGCATAATTAACTTGAACTGGACGAGTGTGACACTTAATGATGGATCTAATTATAATAACTTGAACGATATAATGTAATTTGTACTTTTTTGTTAATAAATTTAATTACAAAATAATAAAATTTCCGCATGCTTTTGTATTTCTTCTCATGGAAGGTGGAGAGATATGGTGCGAAATCTGCTGCGGTGTCTGATCAACATTTTAGAGTGGGTCAAAGATTGATTTTTTTGGGGGGCGAAAGTCCAACTATCTATAGAGATTCGGAGTAGGAATTAGCCTCCACGGAATTTGTGAGCCACGTCAGCGTGTCGACGTGGCAGTGGCAAGGGGTTGTCAGTCATTGATGATGGTGAAGGGTAGTTTAGGTAATTCAGTTAATTTATTTCTTAATAAAAAGTGTTGAAAAGTGCAGCGCTTTTTGTGGGGCTGAATCTCACATGTTTTTTCTTTATCCGTATCTCTAGTAGATGCCTTATCCAGACAACGGTGTTTTTTTAATGGTTTTTTCTTTTTCTTTTTCTTTTTTTTTTTAATTCTTTCCTCGCGCTGAAGAATTCCAGTAACTTCCATGTCTGCTTTTTTTTTTCTTCTTTACTTCCAAATTATTATGTCTCCTTGTAAAACTTTCCGCTAAAATAATAATTTATCTCATATATTATCTATTTTTATTAAAATTAATTTCTACTTTAATTTTCCACTGAATTAATTTATATATTTTTTTAAAAAAAAATTTATTTACTCACGTTTTTTAATAACTATTAACGCTGTTAATTTAATTGTGTAAGTATTAAATTTATTGATACGTAAAAATTAAATTAAATGTATGTGAATCTATTTGAACTAGTACGTAAATAAAATAAAAATAAATATACTATAAATATAACTTCACATTGACATTGAGATGCGAGTCTACCTAATAACAAAAAATGTATGAAATAAATAAATTGAACGATTGGTTTCAAAGGGGATTGTACCATCAATAGTTGTAAGAGTAAGCTGACGAAGATGTAAGGGAATTTGTGGGTTCACATGCAAAGCAAGAGATGGTGGTATTTTGTGGGTGTGTTTGTAGGATAAAAAGAAAAAAAGTTTGGGTTTAAGGGAATAGTAAAATGACATCATAGTGGTCGTTGATAATTTGGGTGGAGTTATTAATGAGTGTTGAGTGCAATGATCTCTTTTGCTTTCATCTAACAGCTGCAACAACACTAGATGGTTCGTTAATAAATTTTGTTGTTTTTATTATCATTGTCATCATCATCCGAGTTTAAAAAATACAAATAACTATTAGAGGAGAAATTGATACTAAATTGGGTGGGGATAGCAGTTGTGGCAAGTAGCAACAAAGGAGCAGATCAAGAATATTTCATGCGCACACCACCATGCACCAAAAACAAAAGGCACATCCTTACTTTTGAAGCAAACTTGGCGCAACAAAGATTAGGGGAAGGGGGAGGGATGAGGGTTTTTTTAGGCCGATTTAGGTTAGTTCACAGTTTTATTTATTGATTGTTCTGTCGATTCATATTTAATTTTTTTAATATTATCTAAACTTTAACTAATACTTAAACCAATCAGAAAATATACGAGTCAATGATATTAATTTTTATTAATAGAGACAAATTATGTCACAAAATTTAAAAAAATATGTAAATTAATTTGACCAAAAATTAAAGTAGAAATTAATTTAAACACAAAGAAATAGTACAAAAATTAAATTATTATTTTTATTTAAAATTTTTATTTTTTAAATAAAAATATTAAACGTAAGTACATAACAAAATTATATTGAATTAACCTTTTTAATAAACCTTATAAAAATTCTTCTGAGAATCTTATGCAAATTATACGTTGTATACAATTATTATTATATTTGAGTAACTTTGTAATTTTTAGTAAAAGAGAAGTTTGAACTCAATTGTTAAGATTTTAAGATTACTATAGTAATGTCAATTTTTTTTTAAAAAAAATTGAGTAGTTATTGGGTATTATAATAAATCTCATAGAATTTCTATAGTTTACATAAAAATAAAAAAAAAAAACAAATAGTTATTAGTATGATATTCACGTACCAATTGTTTGCATGCTCTTTAACCTCAAATATTGATACCCACAGAGTTAATTTAAGTGGAGAATTTATCCATGCACCCATGTCTAAATCTTGAATCACATATATATATATATATATATATATATATATGCACATCCATCTTTTTAAACTTTAACCCTTTTGTCAACTTTTTACAAAACATTATATAAGTTACGTAATAAACATGAATTTTATAAAAATGTAAACTATTCAAAAGTGAAAGATAGATACGTATATAAATTTGAAGTCTCATTTATAAAAGCAAAATGTATTCAACAATGAAAGATGATGAATTAAAGGCACGTTGAAACATGTTTAAACCACGTGAACCTAAGACTCTGCTTCATTGTCATAGGTGATAGTATTCAAGATTGTGGGAATTATATATGAGATTTTTGAACTAGTACTTGCCAGATCCACAAGCAGAGATGTGTCTAGTGTTTTAAGGTAATGCAAAGTAGCACACGCTTATATTATTATATATATATATATATATATATAAGCAGAAATATAAATATAAAAAAGTGAGTATAATGAAAGTTGCTTAGGTCGGCCGTCAAGTTTAATGTTTGTTTTAAAAAGGGAATAGGCGTGTAGGTAGCAGATAGCACAGAATCCACGGGGGGGGGGGGGGGGGGGGGGTAAGAGAATGTAAAATCACTTTTTCCACACAAACTGAGAAAGAAGAGAAAAAGAAAGTGGTTTTTTTTTTTCTTAAGAAACAATTGCAGGAGGGGCCTAATTTTTCATTTCACAAATGAAAAGGACAGGACCCCACCTTCTCCACCCACATTTTTGCTCTTTTCGTATTTTTTTATTATGTCTTTACGCTTTTTTACCAGCTTATGATGTCACTTCATTGCTTTCTTGTACATCCAATATCTATCCATCTTCCCATTACACACACGGGAAACAAAACTCACCATCCTTCTCTCTAGGGTTCTTCTTCTCTTGTAATTTTCTTCAATTACTCCACTTCTAATTTCTTTTTCCTTCTGGGTTTCTCTTACCGGATTCTTTTACTTGCTGCTGAATCTGTCCTTAGATTTTCAAACTTTTCTTGTTTATTCTGCTTCCTAGCCTTGCTTTTTCACTTTTGGTTTCCCAGATGCTGAGAACTGGATCCTTTCGCCGCTCTGTTTGTTGATCAAGAAAAAGTGGGTATTGACTGTGGAGTTAGCTGATTACTCTTTGTTCTGCTGAAATTTAGTTAATTTTTATATGGGTGATTTTGTTAACTTTTTAAGGTGGGTTGATTTGTTTTCATGTTTAATGTTCTTGTTTTTGCGTTGTTCTTATTATTAACTGGGTGGTGATTCTGTTATGAAAGAATTAAGACTAATTTTATGCTGTGCTGTGTTTTTAACATAGTTTTTAACTGGTAATCTCTGGCTTGTTCTCTGATCACTTTATCCTTAATCATAAGGCAGCTTCTCCTCTTCCAACCCTTTATACTCAGATACCTTTTCACGTTTGTCTTTTTGCTTTTATGAGGCTTTCAGTTTCCCCCACTGAGAGTTTCTCCTTCTTATGGGGGGAAAAAAAGTTTGGCTCCTCAATTCTTTTTGCCTACGGAATAAAACCCATCTTTTACGATTCATCACCTTCCTGATTGAAAATTTTCTGAATTTCGATTGATGAAAATGGCCATAACTTCAGCTTACCAATTTAGTCCCCTTCTATTAACTGTTTAGATCCCGATTAACACAGTAATAAACAACTTTGCTCCTGTGATATGCAATTAGCTAACAGCATTTTTCTTTTATTTTATGTCACAGTACTTGGAGATTGTTAAGCAGTCAGCAAATTTCGGTTCGTCCAAGCTGTCACTTATTTGGGGCGGATAAGTAGCTTTCTTAGACGTCTGTAGATAAGATAAGTTTGATTTGGGTTCAGAGAGGTGCGATTTGAAACATGGGTTTTATGTGTGATTTCTGCGAGGATCAAAGGTCCATGGTATATTGTCGATCTGATGCTGCGTGCTTATGTTTGTCTTGTGACCGAAATGTTCACTCTGCTAATGCCCTGTCAAAACGCCATTCGAGAACACTTATTTGTGAGAGATGCAACTCACAACCTGCATTAGTTAGATGTGCTGAAGAAAAGGCTTCTCTTTGTCAGAATTGTGATTGGGTAGTGCATGGTAATTCTACCTCTGCCTCAACTCACAAGAGGCAAACTATCAGTTGTTACTCTGGATGCCCTTCAGCTGCAGAACTTTCTTCTATTTGGTCATTCGTCTTAGAGCTCCCTTCTACAGGTGAATCTACATGTGAGCAAGAATTGGGCTTAATGAGCATTACTGAGAATAGAGCCAAAAATTCCTGGGGGCCTTCAGATAACCCTATAAGTCAAAATGCTGGTGTTGTCGACGGAAAAGATGTGCGCAACTCAGACAAGTCAGGTCATTTGATTGGGTCTTCCTCAGCACCTGGTCCTAATTCTGCTCCACGCAATCTAGATCAGCTACTTGGATCATCAAATGCTACGTTAGCAAAGGTAATCATGAGTTTGCAGTCTCTTTATTAGAATAAATATTTCTCAAATTAAATATTTTTTTTATAAGCCCCGTGGCTGTGATGATGAATGAACATTTCAAACATGCAGTGAAAGTTGTATTTCTTTCAATTGATATGAAATTTGAATTTCTGGCTAAACGCTAGAACTTAACCCTTTTTTTTTTGACATACACACTAGAACTTATCCTTATGGCACGGTTTTGTTGATTGGTTCACTTTGTTGCTTGTCTTAGAACATTCTTATTGTCCCAAGCTGGCTCTCTTTTGCACGACCAAACCTTTATTGGTCTTTACTGAAAGATATCTCTTGCATTGTTTCGTTAGAAATTGGTCTACACCAGATGAAACAGATTTATGATACCACCCATCAGGAAGTGATCTTTATAACCTTGCTAAGTCTGAATTAGTGAGATTGGGGCCGACAAGTAATTCGGTTAGTATGGCAAGAGCTTTGGGGTGTAGATCTGTGAATTTGCCTATCAAGTATTTGGATTTACCTTGGGTGCTAGCTTCAAAGGATGTGGGATCTGTTGGTGGATAGATTTGAGAAAAGGTTGGCAGGTTGGAAGAGGGGCCTATTTTTAAAAGGGGGAAGACTCACGCTCATAAAGAGTACCTTGGGCAATCTTTCTATCTACTATGTGTCTCTGATGGTCATTCCAAAAAGTGTAGCAAAGAAGTTGGAAAGCCATATAGAACAGGTTCCTGTGGCACGACATGGGTGAAAGACGGAGGTACCATTTGGTTGTATGGAGTGAGCTTAAGAAGCCTTTGTACCTTGGTGGCTTGGGTTTGCGATCTTTGTAGGAGATGAATGAGGCTCTACAGGGTATAAACAGTTAAGGAGATTTTTAACAGAGGAAGAAGCAATGTGAAGAAAAACAACTGTAGAAAAATTTGGTATGGACGACAAAGGTTGGTTTACCATAGAGAGTTCAAGGTCAGGTGGGAAAATCTTGTGGGAAAAAGTCACCCAAGGAAAATAAAATTTTTAGGATTATATATGGTGGAAAGTTGGTAGGGGTGATAGCGTTAGACTGTGGGAGGATGGTGGATAGAAGGGAGCAGAAAGACATCAAGATTTGCAACTCTCTGGTGGATAATAGTAGTGTGTGAGAAGGAATGGCAGATGCTTGTACAATGATTGGGATTGGAGAATATGAGG